TCGGAATCGAGATCCCAGGCGGGTAGAGTGTTTTGAAGTTGCAAAAAAACGCCCACGCAACCCTGCCCACAGGATCTCCTTGGAATACGCGGAATGCCTACGTGATCCCGAGGCCCATCAGTGTTGATTGCGTGGAGCCTCCGCACAAGGCGAGCGCCACCAGAAATTCTCAACGAATAGCCTCCATTTGGTTGAGACTTTAAGACCCCTGGAAAAAAAAAGTCCAGCAGTGATAAAAACCCTGCCAAAACCAATAAAGGGGGAAAAACATATTCTTCAGCAAATGGGCCAACCGGGCCCAAGCCCTTGCGATGCCTGGTGTCTGCAACGGATCCCCAAAAACCTGACTGAGGCATGTTCCATGTTGCCAAGACAGGGATCCCTCTTGGCTGACTAATTTTCAGGAAAACAGCGGTGACCATGAAAAAGTGGGGGAGGTTCCCCATGTGCGAAAAGAATCTCTGGAGGAGTGGGGGCATGGTTGTCCTTTCGTTGAGTCTTTTGTTCGGGAGGTGGGCGTACCCTTTGGGAAAATGACAGCACGAACCAATTAAAATTGGAAAAAGGGAAAACCAATCTGGCAGGATCCTTCAGAACGTCCTTCATGGCCCCTAGTGACTGATAGTTGGATCTCCCAACAAGGTCAGGTAGTCAGGAGGTCGGTTGGAGCAATCTTCAACTGGATGATCCTGCTGGAACCTTTGGGACAAGATCGGGCATGCCTTTTACGGGAGGCAACAGCCACACTTTCAAGAGCACTCAAAGGTAGTCAAATCCAACACAGAAGAACCCCTAATTTGTTTGTTTGGGCTCTCCCTTGTCCCTTTAAAGCCAAACCGGGGTTCCCCCAAACCGGCTCTCCAAAACGGCTTTCCGATCCCGAAGACCGCCGCGCCTGCTGGTCATTCATCACATCCCAAACCCCATCACAGGCCAAAACGATGAAGGAGTCCTCTTGGCTTCTCTGGTGGGGGATCCTTGGTGGGGGGAGCGGGTTGGGATCCTGAGAATGTTGACCGCAGATCTAAGTAGAACCGTCTTGTTCATGGAAGGGGTGTTCCTTCCAATCCCCATTAACAGGGGACACCCTGCCGGGGGTTGGCCATCTGGGGCTTCCAGTACAGATAGCTTCATGGTGGGACAAAACCTGAAATATCTAGGTTCGCATTCTCATGTTTACTTCGTCACTGCAAAAAGAGGATTCGCTTGGTATCACAAGGGCTCGCCTTCGACGCAACCAACCAGCTTCTCTTTTTGTTTGATCGGTTCTTTTTCCAACCTGAAAAAAAGCGGTGATACCCTTAAATTCTGCGATACCGATGGTGAGACTTCCATCCAATGACTACTTTAAAACACTTTTACAGGGATCGGATCCCTTAAGATTGGCTTTTTAAATCGCAACCACGCCTCTCGCCAAGGGTTGCTTGCCCTTCGGGGTTTCTGAATTCCTGACCCTTGACGAGTATCCCTTACCCCCAAGTGAAGAGGCATACCGTTACACATATGAGGGTTGTTCCACAGAGGGGTTGGCCGACAAACAGCCGGAGCGTGCGGTTCGCTAAAACTTTCACGGTCTTCCCAGAAAGTCCTCGAACTCAGGAACTGAGAAACGAAAAAGAGTCCCGAGTTCCGGCCACTTCTAGTAAAGCCGGAGAAGAAGAATGCCCAACGGACCTTGAAATAGAAGACAACCTGAATTGGTTGGAACTTGGTTGCCTTCCTGAGCAGAGGATCGATCACCTTTGGTAGGTTTTTCAATGGAAAAGCCAGGACCATGTGTTTCTGAAAGGTCGCTTGGGCAGATTCGGTACCAAAACCAAGACAAGGGCCGGGTATCTAAAGTTGGCCTGCCCCTTTTGCGCCGACCCCCCGATTCCAATGAATGGGTTCCGCTTCCCTTTTTCCGTGGCGTAGATGAACGGCTTTTGAAAGGCCTTTACTAGTGGAACCTTGGGCAACATCCCTTCGGTCGATCGCCTTCAAGTGCTCGCCGACGTGTTGTTCCCATCAAACACATGCAATCGTTGCTGGATCTTACAGGGAAATGTCCCCCAAACCGGGCCGACAAAAACAGGAAACCCCCACTGGAGTTCTTGGTCTATCCATGGCGCACCGGGCTTTTCTTCGCACGAGTGCGCGAAGCTGCCATCCCGCAGCAGGCGAGACCTTGGCTGTGACTCTAGCGCTTGATAGAAGCCAGCTACAGGAATTCCTACGGATCCCTTCCTTCCATTTGCGTAAGGCCCCTGAAAAAATACACATAGTTCCGGTATTGTGATAAATTTTCTGTAAAACCAACACGGGAAAATATAACTTATTGTGAAGCAAATGGAAGCTTCTGTTCAACCAAGGCTTTCTCTTCAATCAGCCCAGTTTTTTTGAGCATTTGGCCGGAAGGAGGAAAGAATCGGAAGTGACCCCTGTAAGAAAATTGTTGAGCATGATGTCTGACTTCTCTTTTGTGTTTTGCCCTGGAAATGTCGTGAGAAACTCAAGTAGTTCCTGCGATTGCACCTGGGCCCTGGTCAGAAAAGGGAACCATTTGGGTGTGTCGGTTTTTAGGGGCGGCCAAAAAGGATGGTTGGTTTCCCTTTGAACCAACCTTTGAAATGGAACCCTAAAAAAGCACGCACAGCCATTTCTGTTTTGGGTTGACCATTCTGAGAGAGCTCACGAAACGAAATGGAAAACGGATGACCAACCCTTCCATACGGTACTTTAGGGTTGGATGCAGTCAATATAGCAAAACCCAGGTTGTTTCTTGCCCGAACCACATGGGCTTTACAACTTGAAGCAGTCTAATATGGGTGTGTCTCCACATGGGGGAACTCTAAAAAAGTGATGTTCCCTTGGTTTTCCTTGACACCGCTGCCCCAAAAATAAAGAGCTGCTCCCTAGGGAAAAAAAAAAAGAAACACACGCGCCGATATCTCAGCGGACGGGGGTTGGTTTGATACCAAACGGGCCACTCCCATTGCTTGGTCCTCATTTTCAAGGGTTCCCCTGTGTCCCCAAAACCAGATTCTCTGCAACCATGTCCACGTCTAAACTTCTTTGGTTGCAGGATGCCAAATTCATCCGCCAACTTACATTGAACAATGTTCCGAACTCTCGTTCTGCGTTGGACTGCCGAGGCCAAAAAGGATTCATGGCAACCACTCTGGCGGGGCGGAGGCATTTGGATTCCTGATACTTCGAGGTTGGAAACTGTTGTCTCACCGGTCGAAGGTAGCGACCAAGAGTGGGAGGCGAAGCGTTGCCAGGGTCGTGACGTCTGCGGTTTGTGTCTGTCCTTTGCGTGGATTTTGCAGGGATCCTTGATATGATGGCCTCAGCTGACTAAAGCGACCAAAGGGTTCATGGCCATAGTAACCCAAGGCTCGAAATTGACATCTCCCCATCTTCCATGCTTCACGACAACCCAAGTCCACCTTACTCATTGCTAAGCAAAAACTGGGAAATTAAGATGCTATCACCTTCCGTGAAAAGGGGTCACTGGATTGTCCCCTCCAAAAATAAACAGTTTGCTGCTTGGTTCCACTCAAACTGCCACTTTTGCAGGTCCAAATGAGGGAAATTGAGGGACCACTGTTAAACACATATAGCTTGTTGTTGTCTAAACTACGTCCTTTTGATGTCCCTAACGGGACCATCGTCAGGTCAAAAACCCTCGCGGGCAATCTGCCTCCTTTTTGCTCGACACGCCTCTCAAACGCTCAGTTACTCCTCGCGGAGATCGCGGAACCCGATCTCTTTCTTTGCTTTCTTATTCTCCGAGGGAGACTGGCCATCCCCCACTGGAAAAAAGGCACCTAGGGTGTCTCCCGTCTCCATTCACTACCTGCGGACCAAACTCAATGTCTAAACTTTTGGTTTAGTACCAAAACGTTTGAAGTCCAGACACACACACACACACACACAGACTGACTTCGTAATTTCCCTGATTTCCCGCGCGAACATGTACGCGGTTTTCCGCAGGGGGATGGCTGTCAGCTCCATTTCTATGGCAGTCAAGGGCAGTCAAGGGCAACGGAAGTCCATGGAAAACGTACCAAATCCCAGATACTGGATTTCACTATGGCTAGAACTTTTTTCCGTTTGGACCCCAAACACACCTCCAAAAACGGACTGTTTCCGAGGCGGGTATCTGGGGGGTCCCCTTCAGGGGGGTGTTTTTTTGTTGCATCTTGTCCTGGGTTCAAACACGATTAGTACTAGGTCCTCCAGATTTGAGAGGTTAGAAGAAGGGCACCCGAAATGTTTTCTTGGTTTGTCTATTTTAGTAGGGGAACCGAATCTCCCAACCAAAAAAGAAAGGGTAAAAGTTGGCTCCTGTTGGATTTTTTGAGTCGTGCACAGTCATTTTCTTGGCGTGGGGGTCCCCGGGCAGAGACAGGTCGAACACTCAAACGGCTCAGTCAGCATACCCAACCAATAACCACAGTTTGCATGAGGGTGGGCCATAATTGAGGGCCCATGTGCCAGCTGCTTCTTACTTATGTTATCATTTGCCGGCATCTTAGAACTAGCAAGAAAACATGATCTTCCCAAATGTAGTGCTTCAGGGGCCATACGACTCGCGGCCTAGTGACTACAGTATGTGTGTCTCACAGTGGATTTTCGGAGCGAACCATTTTAAAGACCATCACCTTCCCATGGAATGGAATGTCTGGCTCTGAATCAATGGACAGAAACCAGGTGGGGTTTGTCATTTTTTGTGAGGGCGCCCTTGTTTTGGGTTGACATAAAGGAAAACCAAAAGCAACACCGAAGCCACTTTTGGGGGGCTGTACCATTTTAAGACACCCCTGAATTGAGCTGCTGGGTGAACGTGTTCCTCAATGCCCTTGCCTCTATCTGCCGACTGCCGCGACTGGGCGGTGACAAGTACTTCGATGCATGAAGCTTGGTGATGAATCAATCTCTGCCTCCGCCGAAAATTGGCGATCCAAAATTGTATGCGTAACATGTATATGATACATATATTCTTATTGTACATATATCCCAATTCATCACCTCACCTCTCGCGCAAGGCATCCTTTCAAGCCACTTGTTCCTCTTGGTGTTCCTCTGGCTGTGCCTCTGCCTCCTGTGGCCAGATCGCCGAAAAGGCTGAATGTAGGGAGCCTTGGGATGGACATGCTTGCCAGGTATCAGCTTCCCTCCAATTGGCTGGTTTGGAGTCGTTTTGGGGGTCTGGTTTCCCATTTGTTCAAATCCCCAAACCACCAATCAATCGAAACCACCATTTAGGGGCTGCCGACTATTCACAGGATGTCATCCTTACCAGCCGTGGAAAAGTGGATTTTGTTCATTCACAGCGTGTGCCTCAAAATAGCCTCAGCAATGGTGGGTTTCTTTGGGTTTCCCGTTCAACCACCCAAAAAGATGCCCAACAAAAAAACTCAAAAACACAAAAGGAAACCCTGGTATGGTCGAATTAAACACCGTCCCGTATTGCCGGAATCTGGCCGGCCTTTTGTGTATCTTCTATATCTGGACAACTTACTCTATACAAGATGTATCGGAGTGGCGATTTGCTCTCATTCGCAAGCCGGAGACCTAGGCTGGAATTAGGACCCCAACAAATATATATATATATATATATTATATCTTCTTTTGCCTGGTTCGTGGAAAACAAAAGGGACCCCCAACAAAAGGAAGAACATTCACAAAAAACGGGGAGCAAAGTCTGGGGAAAGGTATCTCCTGGGTGTCATAGGTGAGCTTGTTTCGAACTGGAAACCCCAAGCTTTGCCCAAAGCGACCTTCTAGAAGGATGGTGAGCACAAGAAATGATCCTCCATTTGCTTCCTAAGTCCCTTAAGTCCCCCGGGAAAAAATGAAACATTTGCTTTAAAAAAAGAAAATAAGTCCTGTGATCCTTTAAAACCACCAAACAAAAATGACAAATATTCTTTTCAAATGGAATTCTTGGTGTACCCGACTTTTGGTCAAGACCTTTGGTCACTAAAGACTTTTGGTTACATATACTTTTGGTCTACCCGAAAAGTGACTAAAGTCCAGAAATGCCGGGAGTAAGCTCCAGCTGCTCAAGCTTCCGGTCCTCGTTGACCTCGCCCTCCGCTTCGCCCTCCTCTGGTGCATCCTCGGGCCAACTGAATGGGGTACCGTTGGTCTGAGAAAAAGCTCGAAATGACCTCATGATTAGAGTTAGGCCCAGTTAGAGAATGTATATTTTATTGTTTGCTTCACTTTAAGTCACTGGCAAAATGTTACATGTATCCTAATCCTAAGCCCACCCAAGGCCAATCCCTGGTGACTTTTGGTTTCTAATTAGGGGATATCAAACACATAGCCGGCTGTGTTAAGAATGTCAAGAGACATTCGCGATGTCTATAGACGGAAAATTATTGCAGCCAAAGCGCCTTGACAAAGGAACATGGTGCACATAGCCAAATCCTCTGTGACACAGGAAGTCGCAACAAGGCTCAATGATTGAATAGTTGAGAGCCAATGTCCCCTCCTCAGTTCGCCCGCCTTAGGTTCATGAATTTGGCAAATTTGTTGTGAGCCAAAATACAAAGCGGAGGTCAAAGTTGTCTACCCAAAGCAAGCCAAAATGGAATTGAAAGGGACACCCTTTAGTCTTAAGACGAATCCTTACAAAGTCCAAGGGCTTGTTCACATTTCTCGTTGGGACTGTCCCCTACTCGCGAGCTTGAGGAGCCGTGGCGTATGCTTTCAGTTGGTCTAAACATCACCTTTATCGGCCAAAAGGTGAGCTTTCTCAGTGATGTTTTTAGGTCGGCTATATAGGGAGCCCTGCTTGTTTTCCTTAAGCGGGTGGAGCCTTCGTCAGGTGCATTGATTCCATGCCGTTGTTCTACCAGAGCCTTTAGAATGTGTGTCATGGTCAATACTTGTTTGATGCCCCACACGACGTTGCATTTTGGTGAGTAGCTAGTGGTATATTCTAGTGAATGTGCCTGTTTCCTGTCTGGTTTCGTGGGGGAGTGGAGGGTCAATTTGACCTTCCACTCCTCCACAAAACCAAGGAGTGGGGGTCCCAGGGGTCTTTGGGTCGGTTGGTTCGTATCGATAACGCTTTCACTTGTGGGATAAACACAACAAGCATGTCTTTCGAAACATGGCAAAGGACGAATAGGCATCAGCAAAAGACGAGGCACATTCTAGCATAACTCCAAAGCCCGGAAAAGGAACTGCGCAGCAAGGGAACAACATCGATCAGGGGAATCACTCGCTACAGAATTGGCAGAAGATGTATCCTTTCACTTTGACAGATAGCTCTTTCAAGTTTACTCCCCATACGCCCGTGCTACACGAGTAAACATTCGGTGCCAGGCCCTGGTGGTTTTGGCAAAAACCAACTTTGCGCTGCGCCATGGCCGGCCAGGAGCAACTTCGGCCAATTCTGTTCAAGGATCCTTCTGTTCAAACCCTAAAAGACCCAAAGGAAGTGGTGGATTTGTGAACAGAATGCTTAAAAGGGGAAGCAACCCCTACAGCGACGTTGTGGATTCAACAATCAATGGTTTGCCCAAAATGTTTGGCTTCTGATTTCCGTTTCAATACCAACCAACACAGTTTGAGAAACAACCGTATTGTCCAACCGAAATCCTCCCGCGTGTACATGGCCTCGTCTCCCTGGAGATCGACCTAATCTGTCCAGAGAACCCCTTTTTTCAACAAAAGAACCCCTTCTTCCCTGTTTAATTCCTGCTGGGTCCATCAAAGTGGCATCCTTCAAATTGCCCTCTGGGCCCCGTCATTCCCTCGTGTTTTTCTTTCCCCGCCTTCGGAGCGCGGGAGTCTTTGATGCGGGACTCCAACTGGCGCGAAGTTGGATGGGACCCCCGACGATGATCCGGGTGTAATTTTCTGTGCCCACGGCGACTCCTGTAGAATGCTTAGTACTGTTTCTCTAAAAAGGTATGTCAATTGGGATCTGGTGAAAAGACCACTAACATGGAAGATGCCCACAAAACGCCGGGGGGATAGCAGGCTGCCGAAAACGTATAACAGCCCAGGTTGGGACTATCCCCCATCAAGTTGCACTCGGGAAGAAGGTTTCCAACAACCTTACTATTTAGACATGATCGACTCACTCACTCACCCACTCACCCACTCACCCACTCACCCACTCACCCACCCACTGGCACGCTCACCCACTCACCGACTCACCGACTCACCGACTCACCGACTCACCGACTCACCGACTCACCCACTCACCCACCCACCGCACACTCACCACTCACTCACTCACTCACTCACTCACTCACTCACTCACTCACTCACTCACTCACTCACTCACTCACTCACTCACTCACTCACTCACTCACTCACTCACTCACTCACTCACTCACTCACTCACTCACTCACTCACTCACTCACTCACTCACTCACTCACTCACTCACTCACTCACTCACTCACTCACTCACTCACTCACTCACTCACTCACTCACTCACTCACTCACTCACTCACTCACTCACTCACTCACTCACTCACTCACTCACTCACTCACTCACTCACTCACTCACTCACTCACTCACTCACTCACTCACTCACTCACTCACTCACTCACTCACTCACTCACTCACTCACTCACTCACTCACTCACTCACTCACTGGCCAAAAGGGGAGAAGCCCAAGCCACGCCTCCCGCCACGATCGATTCCACACTGCATTTTCTAAAACCAGGACCCCCCGGAGACAACTTGGAATATCTGTTGAAGGAAGGGCTCATGAAAAGCTAGCCCACCAAAGTTTGTTTGCTTTCCCATGGGTTGTTTGAGAAATGCTGGAATCGGAGTCAGCCCTCAGGCAAACCGTATGAAACCGTTGACCATTTGTGTGTATTGGGATGGGACCAACAACAAGAGGCAAACCCATCAGTTTTGGGGTCTCCATGGTCTCCCTCTTTGACACATTTCACTTGGGGTCTGGTTATCTTTTTGGAACGGTTAAACGAGCCACCCTACTACATGACTTGCTTGCCCAAGGGACCTGAAAATAAAAGACAAACCCTTCCGGATGGACCAAAGCAGCCTCCTAGCCCTCCGCACGGGGAATGAGGTCCCTCATATGCTCGGTCTGCAAGGTGAAAACAGAAAGGGTCAGGGTTCGCAAAGCAAAGCCCGACCTGCGGCCAACTCCGGGGTCCCTGCATTGGCTTTCTATGGGATCTCAGTGCTATGGCCAGGTGCGCGTCCCTTTCGTCCAAAACGGGTGGACGTTTGATTTGGTGAAAAACAAGAACACACAAACAAACCAACAGCTCTCAAAACCAAACACATACGCACATGTACACACAAACATAATGGCGCTATCTTTGAGGTTGCCTGTTTCGGGGTTGCTTTCAAGGGACACCAAAGTGAAACTCATTTTGTGGAGGGTGTCCCGATGTCTTGAGACCACTATCTTGTGCTTTAGTAGACCCCCGAAAATGGAAGCTGTTCGTTTCTTCCCGTTGGTTTCAGAGTTCGTGTGGGGAAATCAACCCGGCTTAAGTCGACCCGGGTCAATAAATGAAACCCTGAGTGGTTTCCCATGGCCAACGGGAAGCCGCCACTAGCGACCAAGGGACACCCCATTGTTACGGAGATTCCCCTCGTACAGTGGGCATCTGAAATCGCATGTTCAACGTAAGAGATATTTCCTTGGTATCACAGAAAGTGGCAACCTAACCCCCACCCCCCCTGCCATGTTCAAATACTCTGAACTGAAGGCAAAAACCCACGCCACGCCCATCGCGCCCATGTATCGCAGAAGTGGTTGGACAACTTGTAATCCCACTGAACTGAAGGCAAACACCCTTGCGCCTGCATGTAGAGGATCCCCAGCACCGTAAAGTGGATCGCGAAAACGGCGCCCACCATGTTCATGTCGGCGCTCCCTGGCGGGACTCGAGGACAAGATTCCCTCGCCGACCTCGCCCCCTTTTGGTCTTTTTTGGACAAAGTGGCTTCCAAGAACAAATTAAAGGGAGTTTCCAGGGTGTTTAAGGGGACCCCCTTTCCGAACACGAGAACCATCAAAATCGCAATTTTCCGAGTAACTCCTGTCCATGATCGAACTCCTTGAAAGGATTATTGTCATGGCTCCCACAATAAGAACTCTTACCATGGATGTCAGAACAAAAAAAAACTGCAGGTTGATGACCATCCCTGGCATCCGAGGCAACCAAAGCTGGACGCTACCGATGACCACCCCACTTCAATGCTTCTAGGTAACCAGCTCCAGGGTTTTCTACAGGAAGTTCACCAAACCCATGGTAATTGGTGGGCACTCGGTTGCCATACACATATCCGGGAGCAGGTGACTTGGAATGGCTCCCAGTTGACAAGTTCCCTCGGGTTGACCCTACGTATTGCCTGCCTCCAAAAAGGAGGCGAGACATCTCTGGAAAGAATTTACGGAGCCAAACAGATCCGATCCCCTGCAAAAAGTAACAACTTTAGCCGGTAAGGGAAAATGAAGGAAGTACTCCTACGGGGAAACAGTTCAACGGTAAGGTAAGTATGGCCGGTGCTTCTATGCTTCTCGGCAAGCCAAATAAGCAATTCGCACGCTTCCAAAATTTAACCATGAAGGGGAATCAAACCCTACTCACTCTCTGAGTGGATCGTCTGATCCTTTTTGTGTACCTCTAAAATTTGGTGTTCCGTAGCACCACTACGACACTTCCTCAAGACCTGACACACACACACACACAGACACGAACGCACGAAAACACTGACGCGAGCACAAGCGCTCGCAAGCACAAAGAACACACACACACACAAACACAGAGACACAGACAAACAGACACACACACACACACACACAAAAAAAGAAGAAGACAGACACACTCACACACTCACACACACAAACAATCAATCAATCAATCAATCAATCAATCAATCAATCAATCAATCAATCAATCAATCAAATCAAATCAAATCAAATCAAATCAAATCAAATCCAATCAATCAATCAATCAATCAATCAATCAAATCCAATCCAATCCAATCCAATCCAATCCAATCCAATCCAATCCAATCAATCAATCAATCAAATCACACAAACACACACACAAACAAACACACACACACACACAAACACACAAACACACAAACACATGAACACACACACACAAACACACACAAACATACACAGACACACATACACACACACAAACACACAGACGCGCACAAACACACAAACACACAAGCACACAAACACACAAACACACAACCACATCAAACACACCAAACACGCAAACACACAAACACACAACCACACAAACAAACAAACACACAAAAACACAACCACGCAAACACACAAACACACACACACACACACTTATCTCGAGAGGCTTCACTAGCCGAGATGAACCGCAGTCAGTAAAAATGCTCGAATGCAAATGCAAATCAACAGGTCACAACATCGACACCGAACAGGAAGCAACAGCAACAGACAGAAACCGCAAAAGGAATCAAGAAAGAGGTTCAGGAAATAGGCAGGTACGTCGGATTGATCAGATCCGATATCCCATGACTGACGTAGCTTCGTTGACTGCGGTCCCTCAGTCATGCCGCACTCCCCTGCTTAGGAAAATTCCAAAGGTTTAACGTCCGTGCTCCAGGACGGTTCACACACACAAGGCCCCAAGCGGGGCGAGCTCACTTGTGCAAGGCCCATTGAGTCTTGCAATCTTCGACTGTGCGGGAAAGTCTCGTGGCGATGACAGACCATGCATGCTTGGCCTTGGTATTGATCTTAAGCGAACGGAGGAGATCAATCTCCTCCTCAGTCCAAGGTTGCGTGGCATCGGGATCAGCCTCAGTAGCGGCATCAGTCCTGGTCGATGGGGTAGCTTTGCGTTGTCCGCGGGTAGGTTTGGATGCCGAAGAGCGTGAGGAGGTCTTGTCGCGTGTGCGACGAGCTCGTTTTTTGTCGGGAGGAGAGGGTGGAGTGGGCGGAGACCAACCATCGGGAAATTGTTCATCATGAGCTTCGGGAAGTTGTTCGCCAGGATCTTCAGGAAATGGTTCATTGAACTCATCGGGGGGGGTCAGGGGAGGTGTAGGTGGTGAAATGGCCATGTCCTCTACGGTGAGAATGATTGGAGCTTCCGGTGCATAATCCGGACCCTCAGCGAACTCGCGAATGGTGGCGAAGCCTTGCTGGGCAATGCCGATGATGAGTTCAAAATCTTCAAGCAGCCGGCGTGCTGTGTCAGGATCCATAATCGCAAAAGGGTTTTATGTCAAACAGCTGCGGTGTGAAAGCAGGTCCTGTGGGGATCTGCCGATGGGCAAAGAATGAAAACGTGGGTGCAACGTTAAATGGTGGCAAAGGAAGGCCGGTACGTTTTTTCCTTTCTTTCTGCAAGGTGAAACCGTGTTGGTGGTACAACCTCGTCAGCAATGCGAGATCGTGATCGCGCTGAAACTCAGGAAAGGAAACCCGGCTGATCAGCGTGCGTCTGGAGTAATATCCGGACTCCTTGTGCGTCATTGGTGCGGCCGATTTGATGGAGAGCATGTTGTGCTTCTCATACCAACACAGGTTTAGGGGCCCTATAGCACGACCTGTGGGTCCCAGGCCTTATAGGCCGATTTGCTGGGAAGCTCCAGCAATCAGGTTCAGCAATAAAAGTACGTGCAGAAGCACGATGAGACCAGCGTGTGACCAGGTCCAGCACCACTACACACGTGCAGAAGCGCGATCCGATGAGACCAATGTGCTTTGAGTTTTGGTGGGGCCAGCGGAGCAAACATGTTGAGCCAAAAAGTACGTGAAGAAGCCCGATGAGACCGTCCAGCACCACTACACACGTGCAGAAGCGCGATCCGATGAGACCAATGCGCTTTGAGTTATGGTGGGGCAGCGGAGCAAACTAAAGAATAGATGTTGAGCCAAAAAGTACGTGAAGAAGCACGATGAGACCAGCATTTAAGGTCCAGCACCACTACACACGTGCATGAGACCAATTTGAGTTATGGTGGGGCCAGCGGAGCAAGCTATATATAGAATAGATGTTGAGCCATATAAGGTTTCTACACGTTTGTTTTTGAAAGTGTGGGCCCCTTAATTCATCTTGAGCTCCCTCTTTGCGTAGTAACTTCTGGGACACGGTTTCTCCTTGGACAAAGTTCAGGGAAACGGGGCCCTGGAGTTTGACTGCAAAAAACACGGTTTTCTTTTATGTTTGCTTCATGCACCCAAACACCAGAACCAGAATCTGAAGCAGTTGTCTTGCGAATTTGGGGGGGGGGCCAGGAAACCAGGAAGCTGCAGTGTTGCCTTTCTCTCCCACAAGAATCAATTGAATGCTGCAAGGGGCTTTGCAAACTTGAGGTTTTACTGAGAGCAAAAAGGGTTCTTGTCCAATTGGAAAAAGGGTTCTTGTCCAATGGGAAAAGTGCAAAGTGCCAGGGACTTCCCGAATTGTCTTTTGACCGTGTGTCAGCTGAGCATTGTTTTTCATTTCGTCCACCGCAGAGCAGCAGCTACACAGTATTGCTGCAGAACCCTAAAGCCAAACACACGAGGATGCGTTCTTGAAACTATCCTCTTGGCCAGCTTCATCATATCCTCATCTAATATACATTGAGTTCGACGAGGATTTCGTCGCTCGCAAAAGTCAAATATTAAGTGCTCATAGTAGTGGTTTTTGGGCCTGACAGGCCACAGCGCCAGCCCTTCATTGAGGGCATTGACAGACAACCAATTGTACACGGAGCGAAACTGCACATAGGCTGTTTCCACAACACAAATCGGGTGATCTTCGCCCATTCCTTCTTTCTCAATCCACATTCCGTAGCTCAGAAAAATCTCGCTCATCAGTGCCAGGCTGGCAAACATGGTTTCAATACACCTCAGATTCGATTGCAGCTCTTTTGGAAAGCAAAAAAGGGATCGCAATACAGCCCAGGCACTTTGTTCTTTCACATGGTTTCTTCGCAGCTGCCCACCGGGCCAAATATGCAAACCAGGGAAGCATCATGCGGGCAGAAGCGCCATTCAAGTGCTTCTGCGAAATGGATGGGAACTGAGTGGATGTGGGCTGCAAATTTTGCTTCATGAACATTGTGCGCCGCGCCCGGCAGCTGCGCTCGATTCCTTAAGTGGCTCAAATATTTGGAAGCACATGTGCTCCCAGGGCATTACAAGTTGTCAATCAAGGCACGTGATTCAGAGCACCAATCCAAATAATCCAAATAGGCTTCCTCAAGGTTGTCATCGATTTTTCCTGTGTGGAAGAGCCCCATAGATACGTCGGCCCAAACCATCAGAGCGCTGGAGTAGCAGTCCGGCAGCATTTGCAAATCCAGGATGTGGAGAATGTCCGGAAACACCCCTAGGTTCCGGCCGACTTTGGAGAAATAACCCGAAACATAATCCGACTTCGGAGAAATAACCAGGAACAAGAACCAACCAAGCCGCTCCAGACTGAAAATCCGGGAATCGATGTGATTGCGCACCTCGTGTTTCGCTGTAGAAACTCTTCTTCATCAACCAGCCTCAGCGTGCACAATTGGGCCGTTCATGACTTTCGGTCCTACGTATTTCTAGGTTGTAGCCGACCGGGACCGCGTCTATGCACAAACCATGGCGCGATCGCAGCCAACTCGCATATCGCGCCACCAGCGTGTCGCGGCGCTAAAGCATATCGAATCACGCGCACCTGGCATCGTGCCTATAGACGTTAATTTCCATCGCGCTGCAGCAACAGCGCACACGCGCATGTAAAGTTTGTGGAAATGTGGCGTAGTGACAATTCGTGCGGTGTCATTGTTCTCGCTGATCTCATCAAGTGACTCTTGTTGATCCCAGATTTAAAAATTCAAGCAGGCTTTTGACATCAGCTTCCCATTCCACACTGGGTCGAAAAACGCCCTACGTGCT